CTTGGTTTTTTTGCCTTTTCTGAGTGTGGGCCCCATATTTTATTCATGCTGTGAGCCCCAATATCTTCACAAAAACTTCATTTTTTGGTTTTAGCAGTCTTTGTTTCCATTGCTTACACAGAAACTCTTGCTGTCACCTTATGTATGTAAATTGTTCATGATTTTTTAATCTAAATTAAAGGGATGTCTTTCATAGTCAAAAATGTTAGTGGAAGCGAGGGGAGAAGAAAGCGACAATCTGACAATGTGGGAGGTGGTGAGCATGTGGATGGGACGTGGGTCATCATGGGCCAGAGGAAATAGATGAGATCAGGGTCTTCCTTTCACGAAATGGTAAGAGAACCATTTACCTGTATTAAAATTGCTGTAGCTCATTAGGACAAAAAGCTAAATTAATAAGTTGGCAACTATGCTATTAGAAGAAGCGTATCAAAGAGCCCATCAAACACTCCACCTTGGGGAGCCACTGCCCCATTGCTAGGCTGCACCTGGAATAGTGCAGAAGTCTCTTAACTTCTTTTGGGTTTAGCTACACGTCCAATCCTCTACACCAGTCACAGCTCTCTTTTTAAAATACAGACTGGATCAAATATTCCTCTGCTTGAAATCCTTGAATGTTTCCTTTTCTTACATGATGAATGTAAACTTACCTTTCACTGAAATGCTTCAAAATCTGGCCTCAGCCTTGATTTCTAACTTGCTTCTTTTTTATTTTTTGAAGATTTTACTTAATTTTAGAGAGAGGGAATCATTGATGTGTGAGAGAAGCATTAGTTGGCTCTTGCACACCCCCAACCAGGGACCTGGCCCACAACTAGGCATGTGCCCTGACTGGAAATTGAACCCGCGACCTTTTGTTTTGTGGGATGACACCCAACCCACTGAGCCAGAAGAGTCTGAGCCAAACTTGTTTCTTAATCACTGCCATCAAATGTGCCCTCTAGTAGTAAAAGGAGGGGTCATTTTATAGGAATAATGAGTAGCTGTAGAGTGGTAGTAATGGTGGTGGTAGCACAGCTATAAAACTATTACTACAAAATTATTGCTACTTTCACTTTGACATGTATCAGTACTTGAACAACTTGCAATTTTCTAGATTCACTATATGGTCTTATGTTCATACATTTTGCATGCTCTTGCATGGGTAGGTGGAGCTCTGACCCCCCCCCCCCTTCTAGTGCACATTCTATCGCAACTCAGGCTCTTTATGTAGCTGTCTCTCCAGGTAGCACCACTCGGATCATACTTTACTAATTGCTTAATACCTAAAGCTTAATATAGTACTAAATGAACAAATGCAAATCTTTGGGGAAATTACAGCAAATAGCTTTCTTTCTATAACAGTGGAATTTTTTACTTTAACAGTAGAATTTTCGGCAATGAAGGAAACATTCTATGTCTGCATTAGCCAGTAGAATGGTCATTAGCCACATATGGCCATCGAGTACTTGAAACATAGCTGTTGTGACTGAGAAACTAAATTTTTATTTAATTTTAATTAATTGAAATTTAAATAGCAACATGTTTTCCTTTCTTACTTTTTACTTTTACTTTAACCATTTCCTGAATACCCTCTGTCATTATTAATATTTAGGCTTAAATATTTGCTATGATGATTCAAAAGATAAAGTATATGGTAATTTTATGGTGAAAAACCCAGGTAAAAGATTTTTGTCTAAATATTTTAACAAATTGGACTCTATCATATCTTTTACAGTGGTCATTCAATATGACATATATAATACTTAATTCAGTAAAGTCACTTACTTATTCATTATAGTTTAAATCTTTTATAAGTAATGCATGATTTTAAAATGGCTTATAATGGAACTCGAAGTAAGCTTTTATGCCACAAATTTGGGTGTGTCATTCATTACCCCCTTACATGGCTTCTGTCAGAGGAACAGCAGGACAGATGTCTATTTTCACCTGCGGAGAATCATTTTACTCATCTTTAGAGTTCATTTCAATCTCTTTAGGTGCTGAAAACCCTAATAGTACTTTTGTAGCTAAACTCTAGTAAGTCTGTTTATTTTAAAGCATTTACTAAATCGCTTAGGATGAAAAGAACCCCCAAATAAGATCTCTAGATGATAACCTTGCTTTATAAAATCCTATTGGCCTACTAAAGGAGTCTTGTTCTTAAAATTAGTTAAATCACATCTCTTTTGGGGTGTGGGGTGGGGCTCAACGTAAAACTTCTCATGTGAATCTGATCTTTGCCTATGATGAAGAACCATCGCTCAGAACTGTGTTAAAGTGGCTGGAGGGAGAATTTGAAGCTACTGGATATCCAAAGAAAGCAGGTCATCTTCCAGACTTTTATTGGAGGATTAAGAAATCCAAAATATTTTTTTAAGAGGGTAGAACCCTCCAAGCACCAGAATTATCTTCTGGAGGGTGGACCCCTTGTAGTACGGGTTTCCCCTACTAGGTGAGTGTTCTAGGAACCCATCTGTGTCAGTGTTCCAGCTGGCGTTGCTGTAAGAGGCTGTGTTGACCTTCAGTAAAAATGTTTTTTAAAATTCTTTCAACATGTTTGCCCATTTCATGATGGGTGATTTGTGAGTATATCTGCCACACGTGCTGAGTGTTCAGCAGTTTTGACCAAAAATGACGTGACCCTCCTCCACTGAGTGACTTTTTTTTGTTTGTTTCTTGAATGACAAAAGTCCTCAAAGGGAAATGTTGACCAGCGTCGAAGAGGTGAAACAAAAAACAGCAGAAGCACTAAAAAGCATCAAAAATGATGAGTTCAAAAATTGTTTTGAGTAGTGGAAAAAAACATCTTGATAGGTATATTACATCAGATGGAAAGTATTCTGAAGGTGACTGGCTTAAACGTGTAAGAATAAATATACAATTTTGTATAAATAAATTCTGTGTTTCAGGGTGTACTCCCTTATATATAAAAATAACACAATTACGACACAAATGGCAAACTTCAAGACAAAACAGAGGTATCGATCAACACAAACAACATCTAGCCTTGTTGACTTTAGCCTCAGATGATTCCACAAGAGTTAACTCTCCCTGGCTTTTGGTGGAAGAATTTGAAACACAGGCACAGTACACCGCTTCCAGAATAAGAAGTAAAAATGGTCTTTTGACATGATATTTTAATTCAAAATTTGGCAAATAGACTCCTGTCTCGACTTCTCATCTCCTTTCTTTGAAACTTTATGTGGTTGTTAGATGAACTGGTTGCATGTCCAGAATTTAAAAAAAACACAACAAAAAACAGGCTGACAGATGATCTTATCACCTTAGGAGCAGAGGATGGCACAGGCTCTCGACCGGAACCTGCTCTTGTTACTAAATCCTTGTCTGACATTGGGTAACATTTTTACCCTTGTGCTCCTCATCTATAAAGATGAAAATCCTGTAATATGCATACGTATTAGGAGCCCATAAAAATTTTGTTGCAATATGATCACAGATTTCACTAAATACATAGATGCTAATGACATAAAATCTAAAAGTAGATGCGGATCATGTTGATTTTAGTTGACATGAAGAGTATAAAGTTTCCTTACTATAAATTTACTTCTACCATCTTACCTTTAGAAGAAGCTTAAGTTACATTGCTTCCTCAAGGATACTATTGTGCAGCTGCTAGGCTTTTTCCTCATTACTATTTTCTTCTTTTGACTCCACTGTTTCATCCTTCTTTTCCCCCAAACTTGAATGTAATTTGCATTATTTTTCTACCTTTTTCACAGAGCTCAATCTCAGTTCCTGGATACGAGAAGCCTAAAACCTGTTCACTTTATTTCCTTGCAACTTTCACTGGTTTACCTAAAGTTACAGCATTGTGGAGAAGTTTTCTGAGAATTTACACAACTGTTTTTTGCTCTTTAAATAAGTAGATCTTTTAAAAATACTCTTAAGCAATCCAAGCATTGTTTTTCCTGTGGTTCAATTTAAAGAACAGAGTAAGTCACTTAATTTCCCTCTTTCAACTGGCAGCTGATGATTTGACCAGTCTGGAATAGACTTTGTCTTTTATCCCAAGTATATGGCACACGCGTGGAGGGTGGCCTGGAGGGAAAAGCGGCTGTCGAGGATCCTAAGAATGCTAAATCGGCCAGGAGTTGGAGCCAATCAATTACTCATTAATAATAGCACAACTATTGGAAAATTTTTAATGAAATATATGAGTGGAGGACCTGATAAATTTGGCCTGCCACTTCTGGAGTGCCACTGTCACAAATAAACCACCCTCCCCAGATTAGGCCCCAGGTCTAGAACGCCCGTTGAAATCCTCGCGCCTTTCGCAACTCGGGACTCCGGGGCTGCCCGATTCCTTTCAGATCACACTATCGAACGAGTCCCGCAGGGGCCAGAGGGGGGCGCCAAGGCCGCGGGAAACGCTGCCTATGCCCCCAGGGCAAGTTCGGGAGACCTTAGCATTCGCGAGAGACTTTTTGCGCCATCCTGTCGTCCCGTGCACTCCGGACTAGGCAAAAGCCTAGTTCAGGTCTTCTTAGGAGGGGGCCTGACTGTTGGCTTAAAACCTTTGCCCGGCGCCGCGCTGGGGCTGAAGTCTAGGAGTCTCGGCGAGATCAGTTTTGTCCGGGCTCCAGCTTCCCAGCAGCGCCCTCCTCTGGGGCGGGCCCTGACGCTCAGTGCCGCGACGAGTGGGCGGCTAGAAGCCTGTAGCGCACAGGGCGGGCGGCTGCAGAGAACGCCGAGACTCCAGCCGTGAGGCTGGTGCTGGAACTAAGCTGTTGCAGCAATCGGAAGAAAAAAAAAGGCCAGAAAACTAGGAAGATATAGAGCAGATGAAAGGGAGCTGCCGCCGAAAAGGGAGGCGGATCTGTTCCGAGACGCCGCCTAGGGAGCCTGCTTGCCGGTAAGATGCTGGCCAGGTAGCTCCGCACCCAGAGGGCGCTCTGTCTGGCTCCTCCCCAAACGCCGGGCGCGGAAGGAGCCGGGGACTCGCGGCGGCGGCGGCAGCCCGAGACGCTCCACACTCCGAGCGCGGCGCCCTTGAGCAGCGCCGCCGAGCTGGTTTGCGAGTCGACTCGTTCGCCCGCCGAGAGAAGGAAGCGCGGTCTCTCCCGTTCCCGCTCAGCCCGCTTCTCCACCCCTTGTACTTTACTCCCAGAAGCGGGCGAGCAGCGCGGCCACGGAGGCGCCGAGGAAGGGCGAGACGCCGCCGGGTAGCGGCGTCCCTTTGGAAGAAAGGGCGCCGGAGAGGAGGCGTCGGCGCGTCGCGGAAGGCGCGACGCGCGATGGCAGCTGCTTAGCCCGGCGCGCCCGGAGCAGCCCGGAGCTGTGGCTGCCCAGACGGTGCGGCTGGACTGGGGACGCCGCTGCAACCCGCCCGGGAAGGATGAGCACGGAGGCTGGCGAGGGCATCACTTTCTCCGTGCCACCCTTGGCCCCCTCGGTCTTGTGCGCCTTCGCCGAGGGCGGCATTTGCCGGACGGGAGGAGCGGTGGCGGACGGCGAGGAGAGCCGGCCACCACCGCCGCCACCGGGCAGCTTCTGGAATGTAGACAGTGCCGCTGCCCCTGGCGCTAGCTGTCCCGCTGCCCTTTCCGCGAGCAGCGCCACCCGTTGCCGGGGCAACTCTGGTGGTGGAGGTGGCCGACGGACCACAGTGGCATATGTGGTCAACGAAGAGAGCCAGGGGCAGCTGGTGGTAGCCGAGAGCGAGGCCCTGCAGAGCCTGCGGGAGGCGTGCGAGACGGTGGGCGCTACACTGGAGACACTCCATTTTGGTAAACTGGACTTTGGGGAGACCACGGTGTTGGACCGTTTTTACAATGCAGGTGCGTAGGTAACTCCTTTATCCACCACAGTCAGGGGCCGCTGCGGAGGAGAAAAGATACGTTTGGGGGGTAGCAGGCGTGCTTCCTACTTAATTACTTCTTGCCCCACCGCAGGGGTAGTGAGCAGTGGTGCGCGACTGCTGCTGGCGCTTACGGCTCCTGGGAAAAAGTGGTTACTGGTGCAAGAGCCTGTGTGTGTATGTGCGGGAGACCGACTGTCTCACCAGCCGGCCCGCGCTGGAGCCCTGGGGCCAGTGCGGTCCTCATAAACAACTTCTGTTCATCGGCAGTGCTCGATACGTGTCCCAATCAGCGTTTTCCATTCAGTGTCTTGGTTTCTCTTGTGTTTGGATTGGGCCCCTATCGTCCTTCTACGAATATATGTACCTGTGACTGTTTTAGACGACGTTCTCATTTTTTTCTGTGTAGTTTTGGGAGTACAGAAACCATGACTTATGCCACGAAGCCAGCTGCACGCAATGCATATATAAATTTGCATGTCGTGTCATGATCTTCCCAACTCATTTTACGTAAACAAGTTTAGTGGCTTGAATTTCCCATTTGTTATCAATTTGTACTTTCAAGTAATTACTTCCGAGAGTAATAACCTTGTCACATACACTAAACTTCCGAGGTGTCTTTTTAGGATTTCCGTGAAAGAACTAGGGTCTGTTTTTATTACCCCATATACCACGATGAGCTGGAAAGTGTGTAATTTAACATTGTTTGAAACACTGATATGCTTAACATATCAAGTTATTAAGTAAATTGGCCATTAAAGTGATTGATAAAGTTTTCAATCTATCACAGATTTCGGTGTTACTGCATGTCTAGTGACTGAAGCAGTTAGCTGTGTGTTAGCAAATACTAGAAATGATGGTACTGAAATTAACTTTTAGTACCCTGTGCAAGCAATGTGGAGAGTATATATTTATTTTTATAAGTGTGGGTAGGAAATTTGATTTAATGGTTGTTTCAGACAATAAGGTTCTTGCATTTGTGATCACATAAAAGATTTTACATTCCAATTTTGTTTTCAGGTCTGATTTTCTTCAGTTTCTTCAAAACACCTGAAGTAGGCTTGTGTCAGTTTTGGAATTCAGCCAAAGCTGACTATTTAAAGAACAAGAAGAACTTTATGTTAAGGAAGTCAGACTAAATAAACTGGGACTTTCTGGTTCTGGTTTTTTTTTTTTTTTAAGTCTTGGTTGGTCTTCATAACTGAACATGAGTATAATGTAGTGTAAGTTGGTTCTTTGGGTGGCTTGCTATAAAAATTGCATGAACATAACTTTTCTAAAAATTACAGCACTCTTATTTTGGGGTTATAATTTGGAAGAAGCTTCAAAGAACTGAGAGCTATGTGTGTGCAACACCCAACCAAATAGCTTATTTTTACTGTACTTAGAGATTGGGTATTTTTTATATGGTTCTGTTAAAGAATCTTAAACTGTGAGGTAATTTGAAGGTTTTCTAGCAAGGCTCACTTACTACTTATTCTCCAAATACTGTCTCTGGAGAAAGGAGAGAGGAAGATTAGAAGAGACCTGACATCTGAACTGTATCTCATTTAATTTTCCCAACAAGCCTGTGAAGGAAGTGCCTTCTTATTGTCCTCCTTAGGTGAAAAGACCAGTGGATCCATAATCGGGTCCAAGATTCAGGTAGCAACTGGTCAATGCCAGATTCCACTTCTGGTGGCTAACTTTAAAAGAGCATGCTTTCCTCTCGCTGCCTCTATTTAACTGGGGTGATATACTCTCAGAGTCCAGAAAAGCTCTCTATCTGGGAATCATGTGGCAAGGAGCTGGCAGGGGCCTCATGAGCCATTTGGGTGCGCTGAGGAATAGTGGGGAAGACTCTCTCTAGAAGGAACAGTGTTTGCAGGCCATCTGTGTCCCATTCCACTGCACAGGCCCCAGCTTAACCTCTGCTTGTATGAGTGACATGAACTTTGAGCCTTCTCATTCAGAATGAAGACTGGACAGAATGAAGATAGGAATCGGTTTTGTTCAAACCCTTCGTTTTTCTAAACTGAGGGTTGCTGAGTTTGATGGAAGCTGAACTTTTGTTCTGATTTCTAAAAGAGTAAATGTCGCGGGATTCGGCAGAGTTTTCTGTGAAGATGCCAGGTGGTAAATATTTTATACTTTGCAGGAGGTCTCTCTCGCAGAGAGAGCGGTCTCTATTCAACTCTGCTGCTGTTATGCAAGGGCAGCCATAAACAATACCTAAACAAATGGTTATGACTGTAGTCCAATAAAACTTCATTAATGGACACTGAAATTGGAGTTGTGTACATTTCAAAAAATATTATTTTTATTTCTCTCCCCACCATCATGAAAAGATATAAAAGCTATTGTTAGCTTGTAAGCTGTAAAAAAAAAAAAATGGGCTTGACAGGATTTTGGTTTCTGGGACGGGCTGACCTTTGCAGTACATCCACCACCTCCATTTAAAAGTTGTACCATTATGATATAGTGGGAAGAGCACTGCCCTGCAACTTAGATAGGAGTTTCCATCGCTGCTCTGCTTTGAACCATGTAATTATAAGCAAGGCTCTTCATCTCCAAAAGGCTTTTAAAATTGACTAGGGATGGAAGTGGAGGATTGAACTAAATTGCTAATTCCCTCATTTGATCCTGTAAGTTTGCAAAGGCAAGGCAGTGTGGTACGAGCATTGGAATAAGAGTTCAAGAGCTGGATTCTGGTCCTTGATTCTTTTCTGATTGGGAGCAAGTCATTTAAAATCTCGGAAAAGCGCCCTGGCTAGTGTACCTCAGTGGATTGAGCATTGGCCTGCGGACCAAACAACCGCAGGTCAATTCCCAGTCAGGGCACATACTTGGGTTGCAGGCCAGGTCCCAGCAGGGGAGGCACGAGAGGCAACCATACATTGATATTTTTCTCCCTCTCCCCTTCCCCTCTAAAGATAAATAAATAAAATCTTTTAAAAAATAAAAAAAGAAAATCTCAGAAAAGAGCTGAAGGGTTTCTGAGATTCCCTTCAGCTCTCAAATTCTGTACTTTAAAATGACAACATTATTAATACAAAATGAATTACTTCAGTCCATATGCACCATGTTCCTGGCCCCAAGGAGTTGAGAGTTGGTGGGGAGGGGAGATTGAAAGCCTGGCTGTAATGGGGCCTCAGAGAAGGTCCACAGAGAATGCCTTGGGCTCCCAGAAACAGATACTGGAATTAGACCTGTGCGTGTAGTGGGTTCAGTGGGTTCAGAGGTGATGCTGAAACTGAGATGGAAAGGTAAGCAAGGACAACTTCACGAGGGTATAACATTTAAAGGGAATGTTGGTGTTCAAAAAGCTCAACTTAATGGAATGAGTAAGAACTTATAGCTTGCTTACATTTCCACAAGCTTCTTCTATCTATGTGAACTGGTGTCATTTTAAAGAATAGATTGCCATTAAAGGTTTTCACTGATTTTCTCTGTGTGATCTTTACACTGTAATCTAGTTTGTTTTTTAACTACATTTGTCATTATCACTTTCATTCCTTTGCTGAGGGGAAACTAATGTTCTATCAAAGTTTTTGAGAAAATATATTTGTATATACAAAACTATTATTCAGATTGCAGTGCCAAGCTAGCGTTCCCAGCTGCCTGCATTGTAGGCAGTAAATCTCTATGGAAGCTAAGAGATGTGAGAGATACAGGTGTTACTGATACAGAGCTGCTCCATTCAGGCCCACAGAACCCCTCACCCCACACCTGGCAGGTTCTCATAAAAATTATTAATGAACATCAGTTCTTTGAAGTATAGTTAGAATTGGCTTTGTTGTTCTCCCATTTTGGTTATAAGAAAATGAAACCAGAAGTGGTTACATTCACCCATGCAGGTTAAATGATTTAGGGGTGCTGCTTGGAACCAGGAGCACATTTTGCCTCAAGCAGTATTAACCATGCTGGTTAGATTCCGGGGGCTGGCCTGGAAGAAGCCATGTTAACTCATTGGGCTTGAAGTGTGAAACCCATTCACTGTTTTAAACCTTCAAGAAAATTATGTTACTGAAACCTAAAACTGGGACTTTATACCTGTGCTTTGTTAGAATTAGAACTTTTCCTTTCACCTACCTTCTGGTAGCGTCTTGGCAGGAACCTCACTTTGGATCGGCAGAGATGAGGGGCCGTAGTGAGGTCTAGGACAAAGGAAGGATTGACATGACCTGAGAATAAAGGCTAGCTTTTTGCATACAGTAAATGTATGGGAAAACTCATTATTTTCCCATTTCACCACAGATGAGTTAAACTATCAGGCCAATTGATAGATCAGTGTTTGAGAACCTCTGACCTAATCTGCCATATAGCCCCTTTTCCCGCCTTGCTTCCTCAGGGAAGAAATGAGTCTTAGCAAAATTATCAAAAGAGCAGACATGGACAAACTCATAAGGGAGAAGTATGGTTAGGAAGGGGTTAAAAAAATGTCTCAGTAGTGCCCTGCACATGGGTTTTCTCTGGCCTTTTGACTTTTTGCTGGCACACCATTGCCCACCCTCTGTGACTCCAAAGCGCTGTGCTTCCTTTTGCTTCCTGGAAGACAGAATTATAATTTGCCAAAAAGAGCTGTACTAGAAAATTGGAATAAAGCAAAAGTAAAAGGACAACTCCAAAGGACAAAAGTAAGTTTGTTTTTAGAACATCCATTTCGTACCCTAAATACTCAACTGCAGATTGTTGTAACTGGCCTGGGTTCCTAGGCTCTTGATACCCTGGTTTCTTTCCTCAGCTCGGTCGCCTGTGGTCTGCTTAAGACATTCGTCCTCTGGTAGTTCAAGTTGGTTCCACTGGTAGGTGAAGCCTAATTATAAGTGCACAATGTGGCCTTGTTTTACCTGTGGCCTTGGCTGGTGCAAGCCTTTTGGGAGTTCTCTGTCTGCTGCAGGTCAGTTCCTGTCTCGTGACTACAGGGACTGTCCCCTGCTTCCTGTTTTGGAGGCCTGGTTAGAGGCCCATTCAGTTCCTGCTTCTGGTTTGCAGGATAAA